GACACACACACACAGACACACAGACACACAGACACACACAGACACACACACAGACACACACCACATACAGACACACACACAGACACACACACAGACACACACACAGTACATACACACACAGTACACACACACAGTACACACACAGTACACACACACACAGTACACACACACAGACACACACACAGACACACAGACACACACACGCAGACACAGACACACACACAGACACACACAGTACACACACACAGTACACACACAGTACACACACACACAGTACACACACACACACAGTACACACACACACACAGACACACAGACACACACACGCAGACACATACACACACAGACACACACACAGACACACACAGACACACGCACGCAGACACAGACACACACAGTACACACACACAGTACACACACAGTACACACACACAGTACACACACACAGTACACACACACACAGACACACACACAGTACGCACACACAGTACACACACACACTATATACACACAGTACACACACACACAGACACACACACAGTACACACACACACACAGTACACACACACACAGTACACACACACAGTACACACACAATTTGGTCCCACGTCCGCAAAGCCGCGTGGAGTCGAAGCACAAAACTCGGTCACGTGGCGCGAGTGCGCGCGGCACGGCACAGAGCGAGGGGGGCCCGCGCGTGACGTTACACGCAGACCCCCCCTGGGGGTCCCCTGGGGGTCCCCTGGGGGTCCACCTCCCCCCCCCCCGTGGGTGCGAGATGCCCTCTTTTGGGAGGTGTGCGAGACACGGCCAAATTATTTTTAAAGGTCAATAATCGAAACGCAAACGAAGCACGGCACGTAAGTAACAACTTACTTTGTTTCGTCAAACCCTCATGTGTTTATTGACATTGTTGTTGTTTTTTTATTATTGGGAACCGAATGGGTGCAAGGCTGCGGTCAATGTTTAAGAGCCGCTGGCTGCAACAACAATGAATGTCCACACGACCACCACGATGATGATGGGCCACTCCGTTGAGATGTCGTGTGTGGCCAGGATGCTTCTGACAAAGACGCTCTTAGCTCGGTTAGATCTTATCTGGTAACATTAATTTTAAAAAAGTTAGTTTCAACGGACGTTTTTTTAGTGATCTGCTGACCTTCCCTCGACTTTGCACTCCTATCGGTGTCACTTTCTGACCCCCCCCCCCCTCCCCCATGGCCAACCCGACTGGCACATCCAGTGGGAAAACAAAGCGCTTCACAGCTCGTCGGATTTCGCCGTGGCGAGAGGTCGGTATAGAGCAGACGAGCGGACGTGGCCTGCCGGGCTACGGATCTCTTGTCTCTGGCTCGCTGACCCCGCAACGTAGCCACAACGTACTCACAACGTACCCGCAACGTACCCGCAACGTACCCGCAACGTACTCACAACGTACCCGCAACGTACTCACAACGTAGCCACAACGTACTCACAACGTACTCACAACGTACCCGCAACGTACCCGCAACGTACCCGCAACGTACCCGCAACTTACTCGCAACGTACCGATTACCGCAACGTACTCACAACGTACCCGCAACGTACTCACAACGTACTCACAACGTACCCGCAACGTACTCACAACGTACTCACAACGTACTCACAACGTACCCGCAACGTACCCGCAACGTACTCACAACGTACCCACAACGTACTCACAACGTACTCACAACGTACCCGCAACGTACTCACAACGTACCCACAACGTACTCACAACGTACCCACAACGTACTCACAACGTACCCGCAACGTACCCACAACGTACTCACAACGTACTCACAACGTGCTCACAACGTACCCGCAACGTACTCACAACGTACCCGCAACGTACCCGCAACGTACTCACAACGTACCCACAACGTACCCACAACGTACCCACAACGTACCCGCAACGTGCCGTCAAAAAACTAAAACAAGAAGAACACGCTCCTGATGTTTTGACACCCAAAAAAAATACGTAATAAATCTGCTTGGAGGAGGGAATGCGACCTGTTGTTATTGGTTTAGAAAGTGCGAAACATCGTCAGTCACCGCTTCGTTTCAGCTACGCAGTGGCTAGGAGATGTGAACTCCCTCGCCTGGTGTACAGGAGGTCGTGGGTTCGATCCCGACCCTGCGTGTCTCTCTCTCTCTCATCATCATCACGGTGGCTAGGAGATGTGAACTCCCTCGCCTGGTGTACAGGAGGTCGTGGGTTCAATCCCGACCCTGCGTGTCTCTCTCTCTCATCATCATCACGGTGGCTAGGAGATGTGAACTCCCTCGCCTGGTGTACAGGAGGTCGTGGGTTCAATCCCGACCCTGCGTGTCTCTCTCTCTCATCATCATCACGGTGGCTAGGAGATGTGAACTCCCTCGCCTGGTGTACAGGAGGTCGTGGGTTCGATCCCGACCCTGCGTGTCTCTCTCTCTCATCATCGTCACGGTGGCTATGAGATGTTAACTACCTCGCCTGGTGTACAGCAGGTCGTGGGTTCGATCCCGACCCTGCGTGTCTCTCTCTCTCATCATCGTCACGGTGGCTAGGATATGTTAACTACCTCGCCTGGTCTACAGGAGGTCGTGGGTTCGATCCCGACCCTGACGATGCCTGCTGTATATTAACAGTTTGCGTGTCTCTTTCTCATCATCATCACGGTGGCTATGGGATGTTAACTAACTCGCCTGGTGTACAGGAGGTCGTGGGGTCGATCCCGACCCTGCGTGTCTCTCTCTCTCTCTCATCATCATCACGGTGGCTAGGGGATGTTAACTACCTCGCCTAGTGTACAGGAGGTCGTGCGGTCAATCCCGACGCTGATGCCTGCTGCATATTTAGAGTTTGCGTGTCTCTCCCTCATCACCATCATGACGATGGCTAGGAGATGTTAACTACCTCGCCTGGTGTATAGGAGGTCGTGGGGTCGATCCCGACCCTGACGATGCCTGCTGTATATTTGGAGTTTGCGTGTCTCTTTCGCATCATCATCACGGTGGCTAGAAAATGTTAACTACCTCGCTTGGTGTACAGGAGATCGTGGGTTCGATCCCGACCCTGCGTGTCTCTCTCTCTCATCATCATCACGGTGGCTATGAGATGTTAACTACCTCGCCTGGTGTACAAGAGCGCGTGGGTTCAATCCCGACCCTGCGTGTCTCTCTCCCCCCGTGCTCGCGTGGATTTTTTTTCTCGGGGTCCTCCGCTTTTCCCACCTCCACATTTCGAATCAACCTCACCCCGCGTTGCGAGCATTTGACCGACTGCTGTAAACCTCTCACCCGACGAAGGCCACTTCGTCTGGGGTGCAATCATTCGTGATGGCCAGCCAAGTCGCTTCCGATAAAGAACCCTACAGCTTAGTGGACCTTACCTGGTTAAGTTTAAAACATATATAAATCATCGTCTTCTTGGTTCTTTCGGTAAAGTCACGGAGAATGGAAATAATAAAATAATAAAATAAAACATAATAGAATAATTATAAAATTATATTAATTTTATTATTTCCATTCTACTTGACTTTACCGAAAGAACCAAGAAGATGAATCCCTGCAGTCACGAAAGCTTTCAATCGAAATATAAATCATCGCTTGAGTTTCAACGTGCTCGCTTTGCCTCGTCCACGTTGAACGCATCAGCTGCTGCTACTGCTCGAGAAGAGCCACCGCCACCACCACCACGACCGCCGTGGCTCACCACTGGAAACGAGGCTCATCCATGCGTCTACCCCCCCCCCCCCCCCATCGTCATCCAACCTCATCATCATCAGCATCCAACCTCATCATGGCTCTCGTCACCTCCTCTCCTTCCCACCCGCCCGCCCTAGACGGGTATCCAACTTCGTTGCGAATGCGCACGATGCGAGGTTGAGCAAAAAAAAAGCCGCCAACGTTTAACAACAACAACAAACAAACAACAACAACAACACGCGTCTGCCGCTGCTGTGGAACCTCTGTTGTTGTTGTTGTCGCCGTCCTTGTTGCTACTTTGCAAGCGACTTGTGTCGGGATGACGACAATTCGCTCGCGGATCCCATCCGCACCGCGCCTCGTGCGCGCTTCTATTTGACATTTTACTCCGATGGAGATCTCGGCTCCCCCTTTTGGTTGTCATCACGCAAATGTTGCTTTTGGAGGGAGGGGGGTCGCTAAAACGTCGTACAATTTCTGAAAGTGAACGGTGCTCACGCGTCCGACGTTATACACCTATAGCCTTGGGGCCCCGCCATGAGAATGTGGAAATTCCACGATTGTCTGCGAAGGACCGCCAACGAATCCAACACAACGTAGAGTTACTGCGCCATGTGCTCTAGCGGAGCTACGGGGGGGTGAGGGTTTGAGTGGCGGGGGTCACGTGTGGCGCAGAGTGGACTGACGGAGTGGGCATCAGCAGCAGTATCATCAGCAGCAATATCATCAGCAGCATCAGTATCAGCAGCAGCAGTATCATCAGCAGCATCAGTATCAGCCGCAGCAGTATCATCAGCAGCAGTGTCATCAGCAGCATCAGTATCAGCAGTAGCAGTATCATCGTCATCACCAGCTGTGTCTTTAGCAGCAGCAGCAGGAGTGTCATCGTCACCAGCAGCAGTATCATTATCAGCATCAGCAGTATCATCATCAGCAGCGGTATCATCAGCATCATCAGCATCAGCAGCAGTATCATTATCAGCAGCAGCAGTATCGTCCGCAGCAGCAGTATGAGCAGCAGCATCAGCAGCAGCAGTATCACCATCACCAGCAGCAGCGTCATCATCATCAGCAGCGGTATCATCAGCATCATCATCAGCAGCAGTATCATCATCAGCATGATCATCCTCATCATCAGCATGATCATCATCAGCAGCGGTATCAGCATCAGCAGCAGCAGTATCATCCTCATCATCAGCATGATCATCATCAGCAGCGGTATCAGCATCAGCAGCAGCAGTATCATCATCATCAGCATGATCACCATCATCCGCAGTGTCACGTGCACGTACCACCAGGATGCGTGAGCAGGCGGCGTGAGCAGCAGCAGCGTGAGCAGCAGCAGCAGCGCCAGGCGCAGTGGCGACCCCGCGGGGACACTGCGCGCCTCCATCCTCCTGCTGCTGCTGCTGCTGCTGGGCGGCGCGTGGTGCTGGTGGTGGTGGGGGGCCGGTGATGGTGGTGGTGGGGGGGGGCGGTGGTGGTGGTGGTGGTGGGGGGCCGGAGATGGTGGTGGTGGTGGTGGGGGGGGCGGTGGTTGAGGTGGTGGGGGGCCGGTGGTTGAGGTGGTGGGGGGTCGGTGGTGGTGAGCTGGTGGTGGTGGTGGGCTGGTGGTGGTGATGGGGGCCCCTCACAGTGTATCCACGCACGGCTCCATGGAGCAGCAGCAGGAGCAGCAGCAGCAGCAGGAGCAGCAGCAGCTCGCGCTCTCCGTGCGCTTCGTGCTCTCCGTGCTCTTCGTGCGCAGTGGCCGCCGCATTAATCCGAGAAGCGCGGCAGCAAAAAAGCTCCCTTTGAAGTCGCAAACTTCAGAGAGCCATCGAGAGAGAGAGAGACACACACGGGTCGAAGTAGGGGGGGGGGGGGCAGGGGGGGGGCAGGGGGGGTGGACAACTTGGGGAGCTCGCGAGAGTTGTGGCAACTTTGCAGCAACGGCGGCGGTGTCGGTGATGACCTGCCGCGGTCAACTCTCCGATGAGAAAATCCGACAGGCGGGAAGATCGCCACGGGTATCACGCGGCAGTAGCAGCAGCGACTGGTAGACGGGCAGCAGTCCGCGGGAGAGCTCACGGAGTAGGAGCAGGAGGAGGAGCAGAGGGAGGAGGAGGGGGAGTAGGAGGAGGACTGAGTGGTAATTACCTCGCTCCGCACGCCGCCTCTTAAAGCGGAGGAGACGCGGCGCGAGACGGGGCGGGGCGCGGGGTCCCCCCCCCCCCACCCCCTCCTCGTGGCCACGGGGTGGGGCTCCCCCCCCCCCTTGTCCCTTGTCCCCCCCCCCCCCCTTGTCCCCCCCCCCCTCCTCCCCCCTCGCGGCCACGGGGAAGGACGGGGCGGGTTCAGCCTCCACCCCCCCCCAGGTCCCCCAGGGTGCCCCTCCCCACCTATCGCGGCCACGGGGGGGAAGGGTGGGGGGTGAGGTGTGGGGTGGGGGTGATGGGTGGGGGTGAGGTGTGGGGGTGAGAGGTGGGGGGGGGTGAGGGGGTGGGGGCCCTGGGGGCTGTCGCGGCCCCGCCTGCCGCAAGCAGCCTGCAACCCACAGCCGCCTCTGCTGCTGTTGCCTCTCACACACTCACACACAGACACTCACACACAGACACACACACACAGACACACACACACAGACACTCACACACAGACACACACACACAGACACACACAGACACACACACAGACACTCACACACAGAAACACACACAGACACTCACGCACAGACACACACAGACACACACACAGACACTCACACACAGACACTCATACACAGACACTCACACACAGACACACACAGACACTCACACACAGACACACAGACACACTCACACACAGACACACAGACACACACAGACACTCACACACAGACACACACACGGACACACAGACACACATATACACACACATAGACACACACACAAACACTCACACACAGACACACATAGTGGGGGTGGTGGGGGTGGGCGATCAGAGACCCGGGCCGGACCCGAGGTGAGTCGAGCCGGCAGGTTGAGCTGTAGGGGGGAGAGGGGAGGGGGGTGTGTAACAAACATCGCCAGCACTGGGGAGACAAAGGCGGCCGAGCGTGGTGCTGGCCACCCAACCCCCTCGTGTGCCTTACCGGCCTTCATTGGTTTCTCGCGAACAGCACTTGCCCCGTCAGTCTGTTAAGGACTACACGGGGGGATCTTTGTCTTTGGTGAGAGAGGCGAGGTTTTGTTTCGACTGCCGCACCTGGAGATCGGATCGACCCCGTGACCTCTGAGTTCGCACGTCTACAGTGCCGGACGTCGCACTGGCATCCCGACAGCGCCAAATGCCACGTCTATAGACCCCAGAGCGACACGCGGATTCACAATAAGATTAATAAACCACGGATATACATATTTATATGCGGAGATAGACGCCGTCCAGACGAGACGCACGGGGCTACTGCAGAGGAGAGGGAGATTGAGGGGCGTTGCGGACAAGATCGAAGTTGCCACTGCACCCAGCCGCCGTGTCAGCGCCGCGGACACCAAAACTCAAAACGCCCCCCCCCCTCGTGTGCCACGGTGCCGGCCTTCACCGGTGGCCTTCACCGGTGGCCTTCACCGGTGCCCGCTAACAGCACTTGCCCCAACAGTCCGTAAAGGCTACACGGGGGATCTTTGTCTGTGTGCGCGTGAGCTACAAAACCCAGCGGACCCGCGTTCCGTTCCCGCTCACGGCCACCAGCACCACCCAGCGACGGATTTATCCGAACCGGTCCTGGGCCTCCCCTAGGTCGACTCAGCCTCAAAATGAGTACCTTGTGCGGTGTGTAAAAATCATCGGCACGAGGGAGACAAAGGCGGTCGGGCCTGGTGCTGGACACCCACCCCCCTTCGTGTGCCGTGCCGGCCTTCACAGGTGCTACTCGCTAACGACAACTCCGCTGGGGCTATGCGGGTGAATCTTTGTCGTGGCTTGCGTACAGCAGAGCAAGCATCCGTTTCAATAACCACCGCCACCACCGTCATCATCATCATCATCGCGATATTCACCACGCGTCTTGCGCAGGGCAAAGGTGCCTCTCTCTGCCTCTCTCTGACTTGTGCATTTCCTGCGGTGCCAAGGAGGATCTGCCCCACCAGTACTTACACTGCCAGCGGCTCAAACCAATGCTCCGCCTTTTGGGTGACACTGACGGTTGCTCTGCGCTTCCAGTGATTTCAGGGGCCTGCTCAAGGCGCGGCTCCGGCTGGAGCACGCGTACCACACACATGTCGGTGATGTGCACGTCTTCTTCGAACGCTGGGGAGCCGGACAAGCCCCTCTCTGTACCAGCGTGGACGGCACCCTCGTGTTCACCTTCTGAAGCGCTCGCTCGTCACCGTGGCGTGCGCGATGACCACCACCACCACCACGTGACTTTTATTTCGTGTTGTGCGCGGTGCATTTAGCGCCACAGCGCGTGGATTTGTAGCGTTTATTTTCATTTGTTTGCTGGTGATTTTGTGTATTTCGTATCGAAATCGCCTCCAGAGCTGTTGCTGCTGGCGGCAATAAAAGTTGTTTAAAAGTCAAAGTCTCTGTCTCTCTCCGTCTCTCTATGTCCCTCGCTGCCTCTTTCCTCCCAGACGGTCGCGGGACCCCCGCTTGCAACCCAACACTGGCACGCGCACATTTTTCACAGTTCATAGAAACATCGCGGTGGAGGAGGGGGGTGAGGAGGGGGTGAGGAGGGGGGTGAGGAGGGGGTGAGGGGGATCGTTTGTTTTGTTGTAACTGCACGTGACTGCAAAACCTGTTCCAGCGCCCGTGTGTGTCACGCGGGGATGAGCGATTTGAGACGTTCTGGAACGTGATGATTTGTGTGAATGCGGTGATTTGTGTGAATGTGATGATTTGTGTGAATGTAAAGTCGGGGACTCTCACTGTGCAGCCGTAGACGGGGCACAGATTCGAGCGAACGACACCAACAAAGAAGAACGCCTGTGGATATTCCGTTTTAAATCTTAGCCAATGGGCATTCCGTTTTCACCGTTAGCCTATGGGCATTCCGTTTTCTCCATGTTAGCCAATGCGCATTCCCTTTTATCCCTATGTAACTTAATGGTAACTACATTTTCTCAATGCTAATTAACGGGGCTTCCCTTTCCCCCCATGTTAGAGCCATTTCACCTCCCCCCCACCCCCCTCGTAGAGCCAATGGGCATTCCGTTTTGAACGTAACCCTAATGTTGCATTCCGTTTCTCCCCACGTAACGCTATGGGCATTCCGTTTTCTGTCATTGGGTTTCTTAGTGTTGTCCTGTCACGGCCCAACGGCTTCTTGCGAGTTGCACACGCGAGCGGCGTGTGGGGGGAAAACGCAAGAAGCCACTCGGCCGAAAACGACGACGACGACGCCGCGGCAAGGGTTTGCATTTGTCGAGTGGCGCGCTCTTGTCGAACTCGGGTGGTCCAAATCGTTCGTTTCAATAATTATCGGTAACCGCGTGGTAGTAAACAAAAACTCAAACTGGTTACCGCGCGTATACACAATTATAACTGACCGGCAATAAATACACGTTGACATTTTTTACTGAGAAAGTATAAGAAGGGAGCTTGGCCACTTGGTGGGTCAAAGGTTAGCGCACTGGATGCGCAGTTCAGAGATTGCTGGTTTCGACTCCACGTCAGTCGAAACAACGGTGTTGGTTATAGAAAATCATTGCAATCGTCACTAAAATACCACTGTCAACGGTGACCAGAACCGGTAATCAGATGCCGGTTAGCGATTATCAAACTCAAGTATTAAACGAGGTAGTGCGTGGTGAGTTGGCTACCACTCACGCGGGTGGCTTTATACTCAGTTGTGGCACAGCGACTACCTAACCATCTCGCTCATCATCTGGTGGAGGAGATGAGTGCATTTTTTTCCCATAGGAATCGTTAAAATTGTGATACGAGCATAAGAGATATTCACAATGGTGTTGCTTTAAAAAACAAAACAAGCTATCTACAAATCAAAGACGGCCACCATTTTTGTGGCGACCATCTTTGATTTTGGTGGCGGCCATTTTTTATTTTGGTGGCGGCCGTCTTTGATTTTTAAGTTACCCAAAGAGATAATAAGTGCCGGATTTAGCGCTTGTGTCACCATTTGAACGACCAATTCACGATACCTGCTCCACTAAGCGTACAGGCCAAACTAAGCAATAGTGCAATTTAAACCTTATGGCCTCAATGTGTGTGTGACGCTGCGCCACGCATCCACGCACGCACGTGTTCACGCATAGCGAGACGTGGGGACTCTCCGCCTTACCCTCCCCCACCCTGTTGGCCGGCTGGTTTTGTCGTACAAACGAGGACCCACGTCTTGAAGAGAAGGGGCCCTCCTTACCGATATCGCCCTTCACATTCCCTCTCCCAGCCAGGGCCGTCCATAAGGGAGTACGGGGCCTGAGATAAATCACACCGCGTGCCCCC